TCCGTCAGCGCGACCTTGGACGCGTCAGCTGTAGGGCACAGCTCAACGCACCGACCGCGTTCGTCGGCATCGAGACCAGATGTCTCGCCGTGGTCGGTGGCGCGCACGGGGGCGAGATGGGCCTCGTCAACGTTGCGCACCGAGTTGCCCTGTTTACACGACTTGCCTTCTCATTGCTGCTCACAGTCACCAGCGCGCTGTTTTCGGTGATCATATCAGTTGGCACAGTACATGAAGACTCCAATAAAGCGCCCTCCGTACTTCCTTTCCCTCTCGCGTTGCAGCGCGCCATGTCCCAAAGATATGGACTGCAAGATCGGTCTCCGACTCCCCCTGGATTCTGGGGAGCCGGCCAACGTCAATGGCAGGAGATGCCTGGCGGCGCCCCTCCCAGGCGCGCCCGCCCAATGGTGGCGCGCCCGCCAGGTCCTCGAACGCGGGCAAGTCTGCGTCGATACCTGCCCAGCCAATGACGTCGCGCACGGTAAGGGCCCATGGCCCGTCCAGGTGCTTCCGCAATCCTGGTTGCAGCTGGGGCACTCCCAATCGTGATTTTCCTGGCCAAACCAGCAGCATTGTCGCGGGTTGCGGTTGCGCCGCGGCGAATTCGCCCGCGCGTTCTCGACGCGTGCGGGGCGTCCCAGACCGCCTGACATTGGTCGGGGACTGGTTCCGTCGGAGTGTCACGGCACGTCTGGGGCGTCTGGGTCAAAGCCGCCACCGTTGACCGCGAGGGTGTCTGCCTGCATTCGACCTGCAAAAAGGTCACGGTAAGAAGCACATAGGTGCTTTGAAACCAAGCCGCGTCTACGATTAGGGTTTGCATATGACTCGTATATGAGCTGCTCGTGCTCGCTCCTCATTGCAGACCTGCGCTCGTTCGCGATGGCCTGCGCACCGAATATCCTCAATCGATTCCAGCACAGCTTTGTGACAAGCGAGGTCTGTGGGTTTTCGGACGGGCGTGCCCTTGGAGCTTTTTAGGCCTGTCAGACATTCGTCAATAACCTGCCAGCGAGTGACCCTGCATTTGGCTAGAGTCAGGCATGGGGCAGTCTGGTCCACGAGCGTAACCACAGGTTGCTCTAATAGAAAGAGGCGCCCTGGGTCGTCTTGTGCGACGGCGACCTGGCCGCAGCAGGCACTGCGTGGAAGGTCTTTTCTGCGGCGCTCGCGCCATGCGTCAGAGTTGGCCAGCGCGCTGGAATGGGAAGGTAGCCCCGCGGTCCTGCAGCTGAGTTGCAGAATCACAACCGCGACGGAACACGCGTTAAGAGGTAGCGTTCCACGGCGCGTCGCACCTGCGGGCTTGGCGGGTCAGCGTTGGTTCGTTTGTCGAGGCCCCCTCCTGAGGCGAATCGCCCCTTGAAGGCATGCTGCAACATGCAACCAAGACCTCCGCTGAAATCGCGTCGACGCGGTTGTCGCGCCGGCGACGCAGGGTAGCTGCGATGGCCAATGTTTCGGCATGCGCGCCCGGAGCGGCGGGCAGCGCTAAGCATATCCCGTCGCAATCGACCTCTGGATCGATTTCCTCCGCCGGAGCGTCGGCGGGGAACGTGGCGCAGTCTAGACCCCTGAGGTCTTCGCCGCAATCGTTCATCGCTTCCGTCTTCAACCTTGTCGGGGCGCTTCCTCTGATTCGATGCCGCCCTCTTCGTTTGCTGTTATCCGGTCTTTTTGTTTGAAGTGGGCGTCCGAGGGCGCGGCCGTTCGCGCGCCCGACCGACTGGGCGCTGGGAATGGCGGAATGGGCGGCGATCCCGCGCGCTCGACTCGCGGCCGAGCCCGCGAGGCAAGGGAGGGCAAATCGATATGTCACGAACGTAATTCGTCTCTGCGGGCGCCGCCGCGCACCGCGCCCGCGGCCGAGAATGGCTCGGGCCGCGGGCCCCCAGCGCAGTCGCGCACAGGCGCCGCGGACCCTGGGCGGCAAAGAGCGCTCTCTCCTGTCGCACCCCGCGGCGCGATCCTTGACCCGGATGTCTCAGGGTAAAAGAATTCGCGTCGCAGTCGAGGGCTGCTCAACAGACGGCATCGCCCCGATTGGGCCCGTTCGACGGCGTTTGCAAGCGCGTCTTGGGCGACGTCTGTTTTCGCGGGCGCGCGCGCGCCCAAGTGACCATCCTCTCTGTCGTTTCGCGCGACGTTGCATTATCTAATTGATCCCAAAATCGCGCAATGAGGGCGGCAATTGCCGCGGCCCGCCACTCAGCGCGCAGTTGGCCGCGGCCGCGCCAGGATAGTTTGCGCCCCGTCGCAGTGTCACACGTGCATTGCCATGGGCCAACCGGGTTCCTAGGGCACGCATTGCGCACTGGCTATGCGATCTACTACGCGCCTAACTGGCACGACTGAACGCGATACTGACACGGCATAGACGCACATCCCCAAGCGCATCTCTGACCGACCCTAGTCTCCAGAAGTACCCTGGAGACCCCACCGGAACAATCTGCATCCTGAGCGCGCGAATACATTGGAAGACAACGTGCTCTCTCACAGCGCGGCCCAGCCCGCTTGCCCGGCACTCGCGCGCGCCAGCCAGCGGGCGCCGCCACCTGGAATAGCTGGCAGCCCCCCGCCAATGGGCTACAAGCGCAAGTGTGTACTAGCTGGCGTCATTATCCAATCATGCGTTATACGATCGCACGCACCACCTCAACGGCGGAGTTCGGCGGCCGCCGTTCTGACATCTTCTACTGCCAGCGCTTTGCTAAGAAAGCTCGCGGAATCCGCGGCGAATCGCGCGGCCGCGCAGGGCGCGCCCCTAGACGGCCAGCGGTTGGAGCCAGTCAGCGCGGCCCCGGCGCTGACCTGCCCCCGTCGCAGCTGGTCGACACGCGGCAGGGGGCCAGGAATCTAAATGCTCGAGCGCGCCCTCCCGCCACCGTGGCCCCTGTCGCCCAGCTCCGCCGCTCTGCGCGATGATGACATCGGATCGCCAACAATGTCGAATACCGCAGGTGCCCCCACATCAGGAGGTGGAATATCTCTCCGGTCCTCCATGGGGAATCCCGCCCCAGTCCTCGACCTCACGCATGTCTGGGTAGAGACGGTAGGTGAGCTAGCCGGGCTGCCACCTCGCGGCAACTGTCGCGATCTCGTCGCTGATGCACGCCACGAGTGCGCGTGTGATCTCGTGCCTGTTCACGGGGCGATCGGACCTGTGCCACTGGCCCGCTATAGTGCTCACCATCATGGTCACGGCGTTGCTTGTCGCCCGCTCCGAATACCACCGCAAGTAGCGGTCGTCAGTCATGCTCGCCAGCGGCCCGGCATCCGAAGTCGACGGTGCCGCGAGCTGGCCTGCGGGAAGGAAGTGCCAGTGACCTGGTTTGCGAGGAGAAGGTAGGCCTCCGTTTCGATGCCGTGCCCAACCAGTGCCCCAGAACTCACACATGTAAAGAGGTCCTCTGAGTCACTGTACTCGGGGTGATGCGTAAACTCGGCAAACTCCGAGCATGGTATTGCCAGGTGGCCAGACGGTGTGTTCTCCAGGCAAGTGGCCTTGGTTCCCCTTCCCAAGCTCACCCTGTAGGTGGATGATTTCATCGCGGCCCTCCTCCAAAATCAATATGGTCATCATCCGCTGCATGGAAGTCTAGAATGGCGGGGAGATCCTCGCCTGAACCCTCGGCGATATTGCCATAGAAGAATTCCATGTGGGTCGTGCCCGACCAGTTCCGATTGCAGCGGCACGCAAGGCGGAGCGCACAGCACACTGCGGACCCATCGGCTCGCGCTCCAGGATCCTGGCCTCGGCGTCTTGATCATAGCCATACCCTGGAGACAGACCGTCGTGGAGGCCGCTCGTAGTCAACGAAACGTCGGTCAGCATGAAGGTCGTCGTGCGCTCGTACACCGCACGCTCGAGCGCTCCTGCAGCTCGGCGAAGGGCACTCACGGGCGAGTCCACCCTACTCTATCGGCTACGGGGCTACGGTGATGTCGTGTTTCACCTGCTTGGCGTTTGAGTTTCTGCTCGAGCCGATCCACCAATGGGTTGTTGACAGGACCTGGGGGCATGGCAGGTGTGCCCGCATCCTGCAGTAATAGTACAGGCGTTGGAGTCCCCTGCGGGGATGGTGTAGCCACCTGCTGCGTGTGCGTGGCCGCCCTCTGCACACTGTCGTTGCTTGTGGCCAAGCTCTGCATCTGCATCCTGGCCATCACCGCGTCTAGCGTCTGCCGCGGCTCTCTGATTTCCTGGGCGTGGTGCAGGGTATTGCCCGAGAGTTTTGGTCGCACTGCTAGTGCAGAGGGCCAGACGCATGTGCAAGATCGCGTCTAGTCGACTGGTCGACACAACGGCTTTCGGCGCAGTGACGGTCACCCACTGCTTGGTTGCCAAGAGCACCCAGACGCAGGGCGCAGGACGGGGCAACGAGCACAGAAGAGGCGATGGACAGCGTACAGCTCCAGGAGGCCGCGTGCGTCCGCGCGTCGATGAAGGGCCAAGTCGGCATTCCAGTAGTGGCCCAACGCCAGGGGGGCTGTTCCAGGTCCCTCCGAAGGAGCCCTGGCGCAACGGCATGCTGAAAAGGAGGTCGACAACGACGGGCCGATGTGACGGCATGTTGAAAAGGAGCAGACGCTAACGGTGCGCAGCGATCATGTCACAGCCTGGCTTCCGACTGGAAGTGGACGGACTGGCCGCGGCGGCTACCAAAGCTACACGTTCCAATCCACTCGAAACAGAAAATGAAAGCCGCGATGAACGTGCAGCTTCCGCAGACTGTCAGACCAAAGCGCTGGTCATCCTTACGCGGGAACGCGAGGCCGCCGTGAACGCAGCCGCGTCACTGGGCAACGGCGCGATAAGAGGCGGCAGTGGCAGCAGGCCCTGTCACTGCTGAAGAGGAGTCGCCATAGTTCAGCAGGGGTTGAGAGGGGGGGAGCTGGGAGGCGAATGGGGGGGCGTGTGACGGGGCGGGGCGCGGGGGGGGGAGGGGTTTGGGGGGGGGGGGGGGGAGGCGAGTGCGAAGGCGACGGCGCCCCTCCCGCAGCAGCGGCGCCACTGTCCGCGGCCAGCCCGCCTCCCAACGAGCTGCGGGCGGCGGACAGCCTCCGCGAGGCCGCTCGGCTCTCGGCCCCGAGCTGGTCCGCCTGCCCCGGAGGCGGGCGCCCTCCACGGCCCCACCCCCCCCTTCCTGCCTTCTCCTCCTTCCTCCTCCGACGGTGCAGGCCAGGACGTAGCCCGCTGCCCGCTTCGCATCAAGTCATCAGAAGCCCAGCCGTGGCTGCACCTGCTCCGCGGGCCCCCGAATCCGGGCGCTCAGTTCCGCCCGCCCTGCGCGGTGGCCACTGCGTCAGCGCCGGTACGAATGAAGACGTCTTGTCTGCAGGGGCAGGCGCTGCCCGAAAAGACGCCCAAGGCCCGGGAGGGAGTATGTCCGCCTTCCCGGGGTGCGGACTCGCTCCCGCATAGGTCTTTGGTGCTTCTCTAGGCGGGGTCTCCCTCTCACGCGGGCGCTCATCGGGCCGTCGACTTCCCGCGAGGGCGGTCGGTGCAGCCAGCTATTTTGCCGAGTGCTAGGGTCGCTCCTTCTCCTGCGCCACTTGCGCCACTGCCCGACCGGCGACGCTGGGTCGCAGGCGTGTGGTTAGCCTGGGAGTTGCGTCGGGCCACTGTGTAGCAGCACTCCCTGCTGCTGCTGACCCACTTCGCGAGCTTGTCAGGAGCTCGACGGAACCTTAAGAAGGATCCCATGCTGCATCGCCACCGCTTCCTCCTCCTCCTCCTCATCATCATCATCCTCCTCCGTCTCCTCCTCCTCCTCCTCCTCCTCCTCCTCCTCGTCCTCGTCCTAACCCTAATCCTTCTCTTCATTATCCTTTCGTTCCTCATGTTCATCCCGTTCCTCCCATTACTCCTTCTCCCGTCTTCATTATCCTCCTCCTCCTTCTCCTCCTCCTCATCATCAGCAGCATCATCATCGTCGTCCTCCTCCTGCCTCCTTTAAGACGTTCAGATGCGGACTGTATCCTCCAATGGGACGAAGCCCTCGCCTCCTCCTCCTCCTGCTCCTGCTCCTGCTCCTGCTCCTCCTCCTCCTCCTCCTCCTCCTCCTCCTCCTCCTCCGCCTGCTCGTCCCCCTGCTCGTCCTGATCCTCCTCCGCTGTTCTTCCTTCTCCGTTTCCCCCACACCCACCTCCACCGCCGCCGCTGCCGCTTGCTGCTTCCGACTGGGCGACGAAGTCGAAACACCTCTCTGCTGAATGCTCATAAGCCTCGCGGCTAGCGGCCGACGCTCGTCAATGTCGCCGCCCTCGCCCGCACCTCCGCGACGCCGTCCGACGCTGGCATCGGCGCGCCACCTCCCAAAGAGGTGCGCTGGCGTTCCTGGCGGCCGCGCCGCCCGCTGCAGTACCACCTTCTCGAAGACTGCAAGGGCACGCCACCCTCGTTCGCGTCCGCCCGCAAGCTGACGAGGACGACCTCGAGGTCGGCCTCGGGCGCCTGGGCCGCGCCCCGCGCGCAGACGCCGCTACCAAGCTGAGAAACCGGCGGCTCGAGAGCCAGCGGGTCCAGTCGCCGTTTTTTCCAGCGCTGCTACTGCCCTCCAGCACGCAACCTGCACCGACCGCCTCTGGCAAACGCGCTGCTGCCATCGCTGTGACAGTTCCGTGCGCCCGCGCTGGGCCCGCCGGGGCCAACTCGCACCAACCGGCACGAGCTACAAAGCGATGGGCTTTGGTCTTCGATGTCGGGCCATGCTCCGCCGAGGCGGCCAGGCTATCGACTGTGTTCAACATCTGTGTTACATTCACCAGGATTGCGAAAACCTGGCCGCTGAGGCTTCGCAACCAAGAAATCGATAAGGCGGCCCACGCCTCTGATGGGAGAAGCGCGCGGCAATTGCAGCACGGCGCTGGAAACACACAACCACGATGTGCTACAACATCCGTAGATCTGCGTCGAGGGACGCGCTTGGTAAGGGACCCTCTGGTGACTCACACGGCGCATATTTTTCGGCGTGCGCCCGATGGCGGAAGTCGCGTGCTGGTAGAACTCGCCCGCGCTGGTCCTCCTACATCGCCTCGCATTCCCCGTCTTCGCGAAGATCAATGAGTCCACAAGTCGCGTCGCCCATACCTCCTGACGCATCACCGAGCTGCTCCAACCCGGCGTCCAAGAGATCACAGACCATCTTGCACCGGAGGCAAAGCCTGCTTCCAGTCAAAATCCAGGCGGACATCGATTGGGTGCTCTCGTAGACTCGTAATGCCTCCGTTTGTGTGAACCTCCTTGGCTGGAGACCTCGTCGACTTCTTGCCACAATCAATTCAGAGAGGGCAGAAGTCGACCCTCCGCGCTCGCTCCTGATCTGGTCTACTGGTTTTCGTCTCCAATCTCGACGCCCCGTCGCCGCATGTCGTCTAGCTTCCGGCACAAGCTCGCATACTCGTGAAGGCCATGTCGTCGAGCTCGCCTTCAAGCATTCCTGCGTCGCGGCGGCCGTTGTCTCGACCGCGGGTCCGGTTCTTTTCGTGAGCGGAGACAGAGGAGGAGAAGGAGGAGCAGCAGCAACAGGAGCGACAGGAGGAGGAGCAGCAGGAGGAACACTCCAATGCCACGCTGTCCGCCGCAGTGCCTAAGCGCCCCCCTCCAGGAGAGAACATCATGGAGGATCTTGGCCCCTGGAGGCTCCCTGGATGCCCAAGGAACTCCCCAGAAGCCGCTGAAATCCCGAAGAAGCTGCCCGCACACTTCCTGGAGTCTCTTCGGAGGTCCCTGGAGGCTCGTGCAACTGCCGCGGTCGGGGGGGGCTACAGCAAGCCTGGCTGCGCCCAGGGGCAGCCCCACGCTATTCTCGCCTGGGGGGGCCCAAGTGTCTGACATCCCCAGCAAACTAAAGCATCCCAAAGGGCAAGTGCGGGAGCGATCCTTCGAGTGATGTGCTGGGTTCGACTCTGGAGAGGCCCCCAGAAGAGAGCATTGCGTGTTCGTGGCGATGATGGGCGTTATGGGGGAGGGGGAGAGTGCGCCGTTCGCGCGAAACCGGTTGGCGCGAAAACTGCGACCGTTCGAGCGAAATCCTTTTCGGCGCGTGCGCGTGAAAAGGGATGAAGAGCTGCGGGTTCTTCCCTGATCCTCTTCGTGGCCCCCTCTTTTCTGATATCCCCGTCGACCTCCTCTTCCTCCTCCTCCTCCTCCTCCTCCTCCTCCTCCTCCTCCTCCTCCTCCAACTGCTCCTCCTCCTCCTCCTCCTCCTCCTCCTCCTCCTCCCGCTCCTCCTCCTCTCCTCATCCTCCTCCCTCCTCCTCCTCCTCCTCCTCCTCCTCCTCCTCCCTCCTCCTCCTCCTCTTCCTCCTCCTCCCTCCTCCTCCTCCTCCTCCTCCTCCTCCTCCTCCTCCTCCTCCTCTCCTCCTCCTCCTCCTCCTCCTCCTCCTCCTCATCTTCCTCCTCCTCCTCCCCCTCCCCCTCCTCCTCCTCCTCCTCCTCCTCCTGCTCCTCCTCCTCCTCCTCCTCCTCCTCCTCCTCCTCCTCCTCCTCCTCCTCCTCCTTCTCCTCCTCCTCCTCCTCCTCCTCGATCCTCGGCAGGGAAACGCGTTCCAGGCAGGAACTCACAGCAATCCTGGTTTCCGCCAACCGCGGGGCGCAGGGAGGGGCGCCAGGGGCCCAGATTTCCACGCCCCTGCGCCCCGCAGCTGAACAGAATTCGAATTTCCGCACGTTCCAGACAGGAGCTCTCCAAAATCCCGGTTCCCGCCAGCACCGGGGCGCAGGGGCGCCAGGGGCCCAGATTTCCATGCCCCTGCGCCCCGCAGCTGGCGGAAACCGGGATTTCCGCAGACAGGAACGCACCGCAATCGCCGCCAGCCGCGGGGCGCAGGGGCGCCAGGGGCCAAGTCTGAAATCCCGGTTCCCGCCAGCCGCGGGGCTACGGGCGCCATAGGAGCCAAGATTTCCACGCCCCTGCGCCTTCCGGGCAGGTGCTCTGCAGTTGCAGAGCACCTGCCGCTGCCGGGAAGGCGCGGAAACCCTGGCCCCCGGTGCCTCCCGCGCCTTTCGCAAAATCGCCCAGAAAGCCCGGAGGCGGGGTGCGCGCAAGGCCGCGGGGGATCCGCGTGCAGAGCTTGTTGGCTGCGCCCCGACCCTGCGGGCCCCCGCGACCAGCGACCGCCGGGACGACGGGAACTTGGATTTTCGAAAGATCGAAGCCGATCAAACCCGAAATCCCGTTGTCGAACCTGTAGGAGCCCGAAATCCCGGTTCCCGGCTGTCGGGCGTCCCAGCCCCCGCCCCCACGAGCCGCTTCCCCGGGATGGCGGGAACCGGGATTTTGGAAAGATCGACCTTGCATGAGCCCGAAATCCTGGTTCCCGGCTCTGTCGGGCGCCCCGCCCCCGCCCCCCCCCCAGCGGCGTCCGCCAGGCTGGCGGGGGCCAGGATTTTGGAGAGATCGAGCCCGATCAAACCCGACGCCCCGCCCCCGCGCTGCGCCCCCGCAAGCGGCGACCGCCGGGATGGCGGGAACTGCGATTTTGAGAGACCGAGCTTGGATAAGCCCGAAATCCCGGTTCCTGGCTCTATCAGGCGCCCCGGCCCCCGCCCACCGGGATGGCGGGAATCGGAATTTTAGAGAAATCGAGCCGGATCAAACCCGAAATCCCGTTCCCAGCTCTGCCAGATGCCCCGAGCCTCCGCCCCCACGAACGGCGACCGCCGGGATGGCGGGAGGCGGGATTTTGGCGAGATCGAGCCTGCATGCGCCCGAAATCCCAGTTCCCGGCTGTCGGGCGCCCCAGACCCCGCCCCCGCGAGCGGCTTCCTCGGGATGGCGGAAACCAGGATTTTCGAAAGATCGAGCCTGGATAAACCCGAAATCCCGCTTCCCGGCTCTGCCGAACGCCCCGAGCCCCCACCCCCGCGAGCGACGATCGCCAGAACGGCGGGAACCAAGATTTTGGAAAGATCGAGCCTGGAAGAGCCCGAGATCCCGGTCCCCAGCTGTGTCCCTCTGTGCCCATCTGGGTTTCTCTGTGTCCTTCTGTGTCGTGATGTGGCCCTCTGTGTTTCTCTATGTCCCCCTGTGTCCCTCTGTGTCTCTCTGTGTCCCTCTGTGTCCCCCTTTGTTTCTCTGTGCCCCTCTGTGTCTCGC